TCATCAATTATGTTATTTCCAGATGTCCAAGTGGTGAAAAGACTCTGTAATTTTAAACTAATACAACCTTCACAGAATCTATCAGAGTATCTTGTCAATTTACACTTGTTACATTCTATTGGTTTTCCCTGTTTACCACTTGCATTTTGTAATTCAAACTCATAAATAAACCTTTCTTCACAATATTCTTTTTCATTTTCAGAAAGCTCCTTGTTTTTTTTGACTAATGAAAAAAAATAATCTTTCATACTTTTTCTATTATTACCATTAGCATTAGCATTACCACGAATTTCACTGTAAGTTTTACGTACAAAATCCTCTCTTTCTGGTGTTAACGATGATAATAGGTTAACATATGACATTATATAAAAATATAATATATAATTCGACTTGGGTGTTTTAATTAGAAAGAAAGGTTGCTGTGTTACAGTTCCTTTCTAAATGTCGTAATTTTTGTGTAATACAGTATTTTTTTTTTGTTTACCAAAACTTGAATGCAGGGAAACACTTTGTTATATATAAAGAAAGACTTTAGACGGTAAATACAGTGCAGTTATGGTGACGGATCACGAATCTTTTAAACATTTGTTGCACAACTTTAGTAAACTGAATTGTCGGGGAAGGATGTGATCAAAATCATAAAACTTTGTAATGAATCGATTTTTTTTTTTTTGCTATGCTGGCATGAAATTTGCAAATTGATTTAAATATTTCCACTTTCCAAAAAGATAAATGATTATGGTTATTTTTACATCGCCGTATCATGCGAATTTCCATTTATATCTATTTTGCAAACCGAAAATTATCTATTTTTGTTCAAAACATCAGGTTGTGCGAAGCAGACACTTGACTGAAAGGAAATCGTGTTTCGCTTAGATTTTCTTACGTGATGTCTACCATTAGATCTTCGCCTTGCTCCGACATTTCGGACTGTTTGAAATGACCAAAACTTACGGCCTTGCCTTGGAACCTTTACCTCAGATCCCAGGTCGTCAAAGACTTGTCATGCAACGTGTTAGTGTTAACATTAAGTATATTTTCGGATCACGAGGCGAGATTCGAAAACATTTGCATTTTATTTTGATGTTATTATTATGATTATTATCTGTCAATTCAATGATCGATAAACAAACAATATCTGCAAATTTTTTCTATTTGAGAGATAGTGGATGATCTGAATATGAACTTCCTTTTTAATTTCCTTTTGGAGAAAACAAAAAATCCATTGATTAATCTTTGCAAAGGTATTTTTTCTTAAATTATGAAAAAAAAAGCTTAGTTGATTGCATGGAGTTTATTCTTCTACAGTGATAGACTTGAAAAAAATCCAATTGATCTAATTGACCTTTAATCCGGGACAAATAACAAACTTGGAGAAAAGATCAGGATAAAAAGATCTTTCTTTTTTAATTAGGAAAAAAAACTTCGTTGACTTTTTAATCAATCGAAATTTGTAAATAACTTTTGATTCACATAATGATTCTTCTTTGAAAAGGATCTTTTACTAAATTTTGCTCAACACAATGAATAAAAATATGACTGGCTAATGTTGGTGCTCCGAACGAATATATAGATACCTCGCATTTGAATGTAACGTGTAAAACCAAATCATATATAGAACACCATTTCAGCACTATGTGCATCGATCCTAATGCAATGCACCTTTTTTTGCATTTTGGGGTAGCGGGTCTATTATATATGTTAATTTTGATGCCCTGAACAAATATGTATGTATGTGATTGAGTCGTGTGATTTTATAACATTATGACGCCAGAATATCATCGCACTGTAATAATCTAGATTTCACAAAGTTCACTGTTACGTACATTTTTCGTTTAAAAACTTCAATGGTGCGTAACAAACAAATTTTTAAGTTTTTCTCTAACAGGATTAATTGATAAGGAAAAACGAAAATTGCATTATTTAAAGAACAACTTCTTCACCGCCATACTCTAACGATTAGTCAACAATAAAAGAATTTCAGCATTCTTGAAGATTTAAAAGTGATAAAAATAAAAATTAAAATTAAAACTTGCAAAAATATGTACAAAACTTGTCTTGTGTGCGGTCAATCTAAGTACCAATATGTAGAGTTAACTTCAAAAGTCAAAAATATCAATTTAACATAACTCATATGTGTGTAAAAATAATTTGGTTGTATGAAATGTAATAATAATAAAAAATAGTTTTAATTTGTAAAAAAGAAGATGTATTTTTTTTATTATTTTGAAAGAAAGATATGGAAAAACAAGTATTTTAATTAAGTAAAACTTCCCATGATAATTATTCTTTCTTGCATCATTGCAATATACATACAATGCTATAATAATTATTGACCCTCGGGATTAATAAATAATTATCATTATTATATCCATATTGCAATGACGCAAGAAAGAATTAAATTGCATATATTATTATTATTATTATTATTATGGAATTACTTGTTTTTTTCCATGTATTCTTTTTCAAATAAGAATGTCTCTTCTTTTACTATTCTTTTATTATTATTATTACGCGTAGTTAACTTCAAAGTCAAAAACAATTTGATTTTTCCATTTTATGTAGAACGACTTTTGTAAGTTAATTTTGAAGTCGTAAAAAAAAAAAAAGAATCCTAAAATTCTTTATTATTAAAGCATTAGAATCACGATGAATTTTTATTGATGCCAAACTGTTCTTTAAATAATTTCAAGATTTATATTAAAGTTTATTAGTGCACACTATACACCATGATGACAGTAATAAATTATTCATCAATTTTAATTTGAGAATTGTTTTTTAACACACTATTCAATTCTCTGCAAAGAAAAACAAGCTTTTTAAACGAAAACGTAACAGCGAGTTTCGTGAAATACGGATTGGCATTACAGTGCGATGATATTCTGGTGTCGTAATATTATAAAATCACATAACTCAATTACATACATACATATTCGTTCGGACCATCAAAATTAGCACCGGATGCGAAGAATCTCAGCATTCTATCATGTATTCATGATCAATGATGCAATCTTTAACAAAAATAAACAATTTCATAGCCAGGTGATGCATTGATCGAGTAGTCTAATAAATCACAACAAAGACATATAAATATGTCCCCTATCCCTCATTCGTGGACCAAAAAAACAATGACGTTCGAATTCGAGGGTTGAGATACATAGTGCTGAAATGGCATCCTATGTATGATTTAGCTTTACGTTACATTCAATTCGAGGTATCTATATATTCGTTCGGAGCATCAACATTAGCCAGTCATATTTTTATTTTATCCGTTGCGTTGAGCAAAAAATTTATTTATTTAAAAAACAAAGTGAAATTGTTTACGAATTTAATAAATTTAATAAAAGATCCTTTGCAAAGAAGAAATCTCATGTGAATCAAAAGTAATTTCGATTGTTAAAAAAATCAACAAAGCTTTTTTTCCTAATTAAAAAAAAAGATCTTTTTGTTTATTTATTTATTCCAGATTAAAGATCAATTGGATTGATTAGATATTTTTTTTTTCCAAGTCTATCACTATAGAAGAATAAGCTTCATGCAAACATCAAAAGTCATTTACAAATTTCGATTGTTAAAAAAATCAATTAAGCTTTTTTTTTAATCATTTCATTAAAACGTGGGTCTAAAGCTGATGCAAAAACAGCTAGAAAGGAAGGAGTGGTCTAATAATGATTTAATGAATTATACAAATTTGAAATAATGTTTTCATATAATCCTTGCTATCAACACCATTACTTTCCTCAAATAACTCTACTCATGTTCATTAGTTTCTTCTAATAATGGTGGTGGACCTTCATCACTTTCTTTATTGGTTCAATAATTTTATTTTGAAGATCATCATTGTTGTCCTCATCATATCAACAATTCCAAAATTTTGTTTTTAGAAAAAAGATCAATAAAGTAACTGAAGATTATGTTACAAAGTCTCTATCATTGAGTGTTGTTGTTATTGTATCAAATTATCCAAGTAGTTCAACAAGTTCTTTAATTAAATACCATTCATTATTAGCTAATAATAAATTTTGTAATCTTTTTAGTTTCATAATCATTATCCAACATCATATTACTTGCAAAATAATAATAATGGCTTCCTTGAAATCTAACAACCTCACCCATGAATTATAAATGTGTAGCTACATCATATATTGGTTTTAGTTTTTCTGGTTAATCTTCCTTTAATCTCTCTTGTAGTTTGAACAATGTCTCCAACTGTTTTGGGGAGTTGAGAAATAGCACAAGTCTTTTCATCCTTAGAACTAATACTTTGATACTATCATTGCAATTAAGTGCCCTTTTAATGCAAATTTGTATATCAGATTCCATGTTTTCCGATTGATTATTATTGGAATCCTCTTCTGCAAATATTTTTTCTTGTGACCCATCTATGCTCATACTTCTATGGGACAACTTTTGTATTAGTGATGATTTTTCAACAATTTCGATTTCCGCGATGCAATTTTTGCCAGGACAAATGGGCATATTTTCTCTAATATTTTCAAGACAAAGATGATGGAAGACGTGGTCACAAGTTAATACAGTAAAAGATTTTTTAAGTAGATGTAAAAAAATTTCTTCATTGCATATTGCACATGGTTCTAATTCAGGAATTTCAATACTACTTGCAATCCTTTCAGGATATCTGTTTTTGAGAATATTCAAAGTGAGGGTTCTAAGGCACGTAATATTGGGGTATCCCACATCATATGATTTACGTAAGCAATTTGCACCATAATTATGCCATAAATTAATTGTGCCACCCTTTTTGATTTAGTGACTTCAATGATACAAGGAATGATAGGTGTATAGTTATGATAGAATTTTTCGGGTCACCAAAAATTGATAATAAATAGTCATCATCAGGATTTGGTGTTAAACTTTGATAAGAGTATTTTGGAGGATGATACCATTCAGAGACATGTTTATCTCCTTTACAAGCATCCAATATCTTTTGTAATTCAATTTCTATGATTTCTGCTTGTTTTTTTTGGAATATCTTTGCCTATTTCTTTGGGTCATTACTTGATGTGGGAGGATGGAATACACCACTGACGCAATTATAATTTTTTTAATATTGTGATAAATTTATGAATTAGCCAATCGAAATAAATTTATGATCATAAATTTTTCTTGTTGGGCATATTGTTGACAAAGATGCATATAATCATACAATAATTTTAATCTATACAACAGAGGACTGATTGGGCAAAACCCTAATCCAGTCCCCTACCCAAAATCATAAATTGGTTAGTATCAAAAAAACAGAGCATTTAGGAAAATGATTATACAAAACAAACACTATTTTACAACTTTCCTCTTAACATCAGAGTCAAATGCAATTTCAGAGCCACAAACCCTGCTCTGAATGTGACCTCCTGTGCTTGAAACAAGTTGCAGATTCTCGTAATATTCCTCTAGAATTGTGACTTGATCACAGAGCCATCCTTACCTAGAAGTGGGATCGTTGCAGGCAACTTTTCAGCTAGCATGCCAGCTGCCTTCTTTGGTCTGGGAAGATTAGTGAAAGCATCATTGACAATTGATACAGTCTTGGTAAACTCCAGATCCACGCACCTTCTGGAATTCAATTGCATCATCATATCTTCAGGTTACCAGGCCAAGATTAGCCTTATGTACATGAGGAACATGTGAGAGAATGGATATAAGTGTTCAAGGTAGCATGCATGCTTCAACATCTATAAAATATTTGAATTGTTTCTTTTTAAATGGTGTATTGCCTTGACATCTTCTTGTAATTATATATTAATAATAATATTATTATTATGATTACGCAAAGCAAAATACCAATCATTTATTATCATCTTGATAAGAATCTTATAATTGTCCAGCAAGATCTGCTCCACATTTTGATTCCAATTAAAATATTTATAAACTATCAATACAATAAAAAAAAGTACACCTGGTTAGTTATTAACACATTTTCTTTAGGAGACCCAAACCAAACCAAACAACAACGCTCATGTTTTGTCACCTTGGACTCTGTCAAAAAATAAATTGTTTTTCCAAAAAAAAAAATCAATTTGTGTCTGACCTCCCAAAAAAAAAACCAATAGGACAGGTAGTTATTCATACAGGCTTCCATTATTTTTTATATTAGTAATGTATTATTAATTTTTTAATTTACAATTTATCCAACAATAAAGTTAGATTGGTAATTTAAGGTTGAAGGTTGAGAATGCCACCACTCACTTGTTGGCTTTCATTCATTAATTCATTTGCCTAAGCTCAAGATCCTGTAAAAGGCTTGGTCATATCAAATATTTATATGTGATTTATAAAACATAAAAATAAAAGAAGTATTACTATACTTTATTATCAATTTGTCAATTATATATAAAAGCACTTATTAATTATTCTGAAATAGTAAAATATAGATCATGGAAAAAGTAAAAATATCATTAAACTTGAACAACTACAATGCTTGGCTGTTTCTGCTAAAGGGCATAAATAATTATCAACAGGTCAATGTAATATATGGGGCATACTGCAACAAAACCAGACAAAGTGAACATTATTATGTCAAAATTATTTAATATAATAAATGCTCTTTATATATACTGTTTATTAATCATCTTTTATAAATTTTTAGTGGGGTATGGAAAGTGTTTCTTTTGAATGTTTTTTCCCCAGAAACCCTTGTTTGATTAGATCCATTAAGTAATTTTTCTCGATTCATCAAGTAATAATTTTCAACTGAACAATATAAAAATTTCTAAAACAAAAAAAATTATTTTGAATACTAATATTCTGCTGATTCTTAAACATAAAGAAAAATACAAGGTGAGCTGTTAGCTTACTTTTACTGTTGCTATAATCTTGAAGCATTTAATAATTGATCCCCATGATTCTGGCCCTCATGGAATTTCAAATTTACCAAGTAGAAACATCCTATAGATACCATCATAATTTAAATTCATAATTATACATGAAGTCAAAACTATTTCGACCATTTGCAGATCTGGTCGAAATAGGGTTGAAATAAGGTCAAAACTGATTTTTACTATGTAGTTGCCTCAAGTCAAAACATTTTGACTTTGGGGTTTTAATTTCGACTTCATGTATAATCATTAACAATCCACTGATTTAGGGGAGAAGAAATCCAGTTAAAAATAATATAATTATAAAATAATTTGTATAAATATATATCATTAATAGTTACCATTAAAGATTTATCTGTTAATCCAAATTCTTCTGTTCCAAGACCTACTAGATAGTCAACATTATGAGGAAGTATATATTCTAACGAATCATAATCAGCTGATTGGTAAGAAGGAGGACTATAACTTTCTGATGAGAAGTTCTATGAAAACCATGAGGAATGCAAAAGAAAGGTTAATACTGTTAATGGTTGCAATGTATTTTATTTAAAAATCAAACTATAAAAAGAAGAAATCTATTACAGGTGTATCTTATTTTCTTAACAGTCATATCAGTAACTTATATTAAATAAAAATTACAGTGGTAGTGTCATTATTACTGTTGTTGCCATTATTATTAATTAGTCTTGGAATTCTACTACTAGAAGATGTCTGGCATATTTTTTTTCCCCCAGAAAAAAAAAAAAAAAGGAAATTTAGTAAGAAACTAGAGTGAAGCCAAGTAGTAGAGATAACTGCCACCATCATTCTTACGTTGGTAATGACTTGAAGTTTAGATCAAAAATTAAATATGGCAATATACAATTTTCATCATTTTTATATAGTTAATAAAAATTATATTTATTTGATTTAACCAATCAAAAATAATTAATTTTGCATTACATTAAGTGATAAAAATTGTTTTGTTGATCGTTGCTTATTAATGTAAAATAAATATCTGGGTCAACTGAGCATTACAATGATTTTCTATGTCATTATTATTATTGATTATTCAAAAAAGATATAGGAAATCAAACTTTGCATGCATAATTTATAAGGCCTAATACTAGGCCACACATTAATATGTGTCCATGATAAATTTCTCTTTTTGAAAGAAACATACTCTCAAAAGAACCAAAAAGGTAAATGAATTCTTAATTCACAAAACTGTCAACAAAGATAAAAACACAAAATATAATTCAGAATCAGAAGTAATTGATGAAGTATAAAGTGATGATGAAGTAATTGATGAAGTACAAAATGATGAAGTACAAAATGATGAAGAAATCAAGAATCTTAAGAAGGTATTTTGGCATTTGCTACATTTTATGCATAATGTATTCATACCTTAATTTTTTAGGATGAAGTGAATATTCATGAAAAGCTTTGTTTCTTTTTAACTATCTCATATTTTTTCATATAGATTGGTGATTAGTCTGTTGAAAAAGCTAGTGAAATTTTTTGGAATTACCTCATAAAATTCATCAAGAGATTCTGGTTCTTCCAATGGTAATTTGTTTTCTTTGATTATATTATGTGTTTGCCAAATCGAATTTGCTAAAATTTCACCATAATTTTTAAATGTTTTTGGATCCAGCCAACTACTTGTAATTTTGAGAGAATGGAAAGGAAAAGAGATGGAATCAGGAAAGACCATTATAACATCAACAACACTTAATGGTATAATAGATGTTTCAGATGAAGAAACAAACAAAGTGATTAAATCACATTTTAATCATGATCAATTTGTTGGCTAAATAACATACTTATAAAGTCAAGTATTCAATCCAACTGATGAATTCAAAATTATATTGATTAATTTACTGGAGGAGCATGCAACAGAATTCAGATACTGTCTCTTGTCTGAAAGTTTTTCATTAATGGAAGATTTGACTCTTATTATTATGAAGACCACAATATAGCTCAGCAGGTTCTTGCTCGTTGGTAAGTATTTGTTTGTGCATGTAAATCAGTTTCTCATATTTTTCCTGACTTCTCTATTAATAGTTCTGTTAGGTTAGAAGCACCTATTTCACATGAATCACAATATTTTAAATTGGAATGAAAATTTGCGGTAGATATTATTATGTACATAACAAAGTTGGCAAACGAGTAGTCCATTGGTGGTCTATTGGTGATCCATTTGGTCCATTAATGTAACATTCAACTATATTTAGTATTTTATTAATGGCAATGGATTCAGTCCAAAGTCCATCAGTTCTCAATGGACCAGTCAGTTTACCAACCCTGATACATATTAAACAGGTTATTTCGCATGCATGCTGACTTATTGGACATTGGATGGTAGATATCAATTATGAATTACAAAGTATTTAATTATTTTCTCTATCCTCTATATCTTTCACTAAGGATTGAATTAGGAACAAAATGCACTAAGAAGCATAAATTCGATGGAATTTTGAAAATGATAAAAGCAAAAAATAATAATAAGACAATTCTCTTAATTGAATTCGCCAGAAGGAAAACAACAACAAAAAAAGAAGTAAATGATCACACTAAATCTGGGTTGGCAAATTGACTGGTCCATTGAGAATAGATGGATTTTGTATTAGTCCATTGCCATTAGTAAAATACTAAATATGGTTAAAATATTACACTAATGGACCATCAATGGACCACACATTTGCCAACCCTGCATTAAATTAAGTAGAAATTTTAAAAAGAGCTTTAAACGAAGTACTAAAAAATACACCAAAAGAAATGGCAAGAGTATATCTCATTCAATCAGTAAGTATCAAAATTAGAAACCAGATGATGGAAAAGTTATTTACACATATATGTTTTCTACATAGATGGAAATGTCAATATTAAATACTCGATTCGACCTCTTCCTTCAGTTTATTTGATGAATCAATTTTTACTTATAAATACCAGTTGTTTTTGAGGACTTTGAAAATTTTGTGAAAGAAATGATCCAATTGATGAATCTCCAAGTAAGGATTGATAATAAACATCCACAGACATTCTTGCCAGATATTGATGGTGACTAACTCCTTCCAATGGCGAAACTTGTCTTCTTGTCTATTCAATGGATTAAATTGATGGTACTTTAGAAATTAGTATAATTTTATCATATATGTGTAGATAAAATTATTATATATATAGATTTTTTTATATATAACGATATTTTAGATGTAAATAACAGTTGTCAAAAGAGGAAAAGAGTCACCTGACTCTAAATAAAATTTTTGGTGATAAAATTTTTTTATGTTTCTTGAAAATAGAAAAGTTGTCATGACCATTAATCTTCATGTTTATTTTCTTTAATTATAAACGTTTCCCAAATTGAAGATAGACCTTCTTTTAAAATGTAATTTGATCAGAGTTTTTCTTTATAAACTCCAGAACATTTTCTAAATTGGTTTCCAAGAGTTTCGAAAGGGAAATTCTATATGATTTTTCGCTTAAATAACACGCACGAATTTTAAGTAACTTATGATTGTTTTGAATGGTTTAAAATACTACAAATAGGTGAATAAATACATTCTCTAATATAAATGTATAATTAAAGTTAAATACTATTGGAACTTTTACTAAATATTTATTTATTTGATAAAATAATCGACGAATAAATCCTGGGAGAAAATACAGACCGGGTAGAATAGTTGGTGAAAGAAATACCTGAAAGACATTGAGATTTTATGGAAAGGCATCACGCAATTATTTGATGAGAAAGTTAAATTGAATCCTGATTTTTCATTCAGCAAAAATTGTGAATTACTTGGAAAGAAAGGAGTTGCCGTCTCTACTATCAAATACTCCTACCAACGAAAAACTAGAGGTTGGAATCGACTAAAATAGTCGACTAAACTTTTTTTTGAACAACTAATAGTCGACTACTAATACCACTAATACTAATACTAATACTATGCTAATATTATTATTGTCTGACCAATTACGATTTTCGTGTTTTACCATTCAAATGGAAACTTTCTATGCGGAAAAGTATAAATACCATCAATACGATGATGACGACAATAGTAGTGGTGTTGTTGATGATAATTTTACATGCGAATGAATAAACACTTCCAATACAAGGTCCAATAGTTCATTGGCTTCAAGTTCCAATGATTTAAGCGGTGGTTCCAGAAGACCTTTAAAAAAACGAATCGTAACACATGGTTTTGTGCGGAAGCATTTTGAAAAAGTGAAAGATTCAAATGGAAATGAACTCGTAATTTGCAATTAAAAAAAAAAAAAAAAAACGAAATATTATTATTATAAAAAAAAATTTTAACCAACTAGTAGTCGACTAAGGATTTTTTTGGACGATTCCAACCTCTACGAAAAACAAATCATAAAGTAAAACAATGGAAGCAAATCAGGAATGGGTTAAGAAGAAAGAGATAGAGAGTGAAGTTGATGAAGATAATGAAAGCAGAGAAGATACAAATCTTAATAATAATAGCAGTAATGGTGAAAGTTAAATTACAAATTTTTTTTAATTTTTAAATTTTTACATGCTAGAAAATGACAACAATCGATGAAATTAGAGTGGATAAAAATAAGGCAAAATGTGAACATAGAAAGGCAGAGAAAGAGTTGAAGAAATTTAAGAGAAGCAGTTGGATGACTTGGAGGATGTGTTAATGGATGAGAAATGGAGTGATGAACAGAAGACGAGGTGGAAAGAACGAAGGAATGAATTGAAAAAGAAAGGAAAAGTTGGAAAGAAAGAAGAAGACTGGAGAAAGCGAATGATAATTTTACAAAATGAACCTACTGAATTTAATGAAAAAGGTAACGAACAATTGCATACAAAAAATTATTCGTTTGAGAAAACATTTGGTATATTATTTATGAGTTTGACTAAATCTTGCTTTTTTTTTGGTTATTTATTATTTCGTTTTTAATTAAATATACAATCCCCATTCATCCGTCAATTTTATCCTGAATCAACTCTTTAATTTTTCTGTTCATCTTTTGTTCATAAAAGAATTAATTAAAGAAACAGGCAAGGTCAATTTTTATGATGAATGAAAAGTAATTAACTCTCTTTGAGAAATTATTTGATAGCATATACAGCAGGCGAATAAACTTTTCTACTTATTCAAGGACTAATTTAAATAATAAAGTCATATGCTTTAAGTGGGTGTGTCATATGAAAAAGCTGGTGGAGAATTTTTAAATGGGCAAAGAAAATCCTAAAAAGTAGGTAAAGTTACTATACCACTTCAATTAGAATTATCCGAGGCCTCAAAAATAATGTTGCCCCGATTTTGTCGCAATTAATATAAGGAATGATCGGCACGATTTTTTTGACTATTTACTATTTACTATTTACTATTTTTAAGCTTAAAACAGAAACAAATATAAGCAAGCTTTGTGGAACTTTATTCTATAAACGTATTAAGGGAGCAGTTTCTGTTGACGTTACAATTAATTTGTAACATCTTTTTAATTTTTTTATAGAATGGGATATTTTATAATTTGTAATTAATAATCGCTTGTAATCGCTGTAATTACTATTTGATCTCATGAATCTTCTTGGAAGAATGAGACTTCACGCGTGTATTAAGAAGATTGCGAGATAAGCTTTACTTTGTTGTTGTACGGGTTTCCATTCAATTGATTCATTTTATTCAACGGGTTTTATTTTTCTATCAAAAAAATTAAATTTCGTCATTTATCATCAATATTTTTGTTTCATATATTTGTAACACTTTGTGTAATTAATGTTTATATTTATGTTTATTGGAAAATACTCATATATTAATATAGAATTCTTTCTTCTTTACTCATCATCAACAACAAGACTTATTTATTTTCTTTTAATAAATTCTACTCTCTTTTATTCTTTTAATAATTATTTTTATTTTTCATTACTTAATAAACTTTTGCATAAACAAGTCCACACACATAATTAATATATGTTAATATAGAATGGTAAACATGCGGAAAAATCAACAAATGTTGTTATTAAAAAGGAAACCAGAACCAGGTTTTAGAGAAATAAGAATTAACGTTGAACTAAAACAACAAGAAAACAATATTTTTAGTTTCCCTGATTTATGTAAAGAAGCCGGTATAGATCTTACAGGACCAAAACAAAAATATTATCATTCTGGCTCTGAAACCGACGATAACTCTGCAGAATCTACTAATTCTAATTCCGATTCTGATTCTGATTCAAACAACAATAATGGAAAGAGCAAGAAGAAGAATAAGAACAAGAAAGTGTCAGTAGAAGAAGATCTACCAGACGAGTTTCAATTCAATAAACCTGGTGATGATTTTTTTAAAAGGATACTTGAGAATTCTGGAAAATATGCAGATGAGGAAGAAGAAGAACAGGTTAATAATCATGATTATTATTAATATACATTTCATAATTACAATCATTTTTATTAACGATTGTTGATAATGGTAACAATATTATTGTGTTATTAGAGTAATAGGAGAAAGAAAAGGCAAGAAAAATATGACGTTTCTGATCCATTCATCGATGATAGTGGCATGGCTTCATTTAGACCAGATAATAATAATAAATCTCGTCCTAAAATCGAGGGCTTCTACGTATGGAGGGGTCCGTTAGAATTAGAAAATAAGTAGGTTATTATAATTATATTAACAACAACATATTTCAAAAAACATAGTGTAATCCAATCCCAAAAATTTTATAATGTTAACCAATCAATTAACCAATCAATTAACCCATAAATCAATTCATTAATTAGCAATGGCAAATCTTCTGGAAAAAAGAGAACTTATAAACGCAAAAAAAAAGATAACAATGAGGAAGATGAAGAGACAGGGGAATCAAAGCCTCGTAAAAGGCGTAATACCAAACCACGACCATCCGATGAACCTGTTAAAAAAGACAATGATGATGGGAACGAAGAACCAAAAGCAAAAGGCACAAGAAAACCAAGAAAACCAAGAAAATCAAAAAATAATGATTCCACCACCAACGCCACAACAGCAACTACCGAAGGAACAGAAACAATTGTAGTAATTGATCCAGAAAAGTCTTCATTTTCCTCTTCGTCTTTCATTAATGCTATTGCTTCTAATACTTCTAATAATAATAACCAAACAACTGCTATGGATGGTATTATACACAATAGTGTACAAAAGGTACAAGAACAACAACAAATACCAAAAGATTCATTGTATTCGTCTTCATTTTCCAATTCGAATACACTCGATGATGCTCAAATGAACACTCTGTATAAAAAACGACCCAAAGAACATAAAGAACAAAATAATAATACAGTAACTAGCAAAAAGATTTATCATGTTGTTAGTATGATAAGAGTTTTACTAATTATTTGAAATATATTTGACTAATATAAATGTAAAAAAATTTTTTTTTGTTAATTTCTTTAGGAGTCATTAAATCCTGAATTACAACAAATCATATTGGTTTTTAAGAATGAAGTATCAAAAGGTTAGAAATTTATTTGAATTATAAATATATATTTGTTGAATGATTTTATTATAAAGAGTAATTGCTAAAATGGTTTGATGCTTATTTTTCAGAAAGCTTTCAGAATAAATCAAGATTTCCGGAAAGTCTCAAACCCATTCTGGTTAAATTATTGTCTAAAGCATATGAACTCGGTGGATTTAATGAAAATCTTTTCAAAATGTTGACAAACATTCTTCCTTACAATAAATTCACCATAACAGTAAGTATTACTGATATTGATTATTATCATTGCTTTATTGTTTTAACAATTAACGATTTTTATTTTTATTTCAAATAGCGTCTTTGCTATAGAACAATGTACCCAAAAGCAATTCATGATGCACGATCTAAAAAATTAAAATTGATTTCACAATTTAAATCATCAGTTGATAAAGCAATGCCTAAACTGTTAAAAGAATATGATGAACGTCTAGCAAAAATAGAACCTAGCCCTAATGTTCCCTTCTCGTCACCTTTTCCTTCTACACCGCCACCATCTTCATCAAATATGGATATGGACATTGATGATTATGAGGGTCCTGATGTTGCTAATGGTGCCAAAGCTCCTAATAAAGAAAAACCATTGGTACCAAAGAAATTTAAATGGGACAATAGCATTAAATCTTTATTATATCAAATTATTCAAACTGAAATGTCTATTGTGGTGATGTCTAATCAACTTGCGTAAGTTTCGGTTCGTTGTTATTGTTATTGGAGAGGTGTGTCTTTGTATGTAATTTTTGAAAACGAGAACTGATTATATATCTTTATTATCATTTGTTATTATTATGATAATGATAAATAGTGAGGCAGAAGAGAGAACTGAAAGACAATCTGAACAAACATGTAGAAAAAAATTGTACCAAGATGTAATTAATTATATTTACTTTTTTATCAAAATTGCTTTTGTATTTTCTAACAATTTTTTATTAATTTTTAAATCAAAAATTTAATTAGCTTTTAACAATTTGGCCTGATGGATGGATGTCATCTCAAGATATAGGAAAGGTTTACAGTGCATATAAAAAGAAACAGCAAATAAATAATTGATTTGAGGAATGTCGAGAAAATGGGAATGATGGTAAAAACAGAGATAGCGAGATGTTTTTAAGAAGGGAGTAGTAGAGATGGTGAAAGTGACAAATAATAAATTTATTTATTTTTTAAAGAGGAGTTAAAAATGAATAGTCATATATTTTTTTATCATTATATGAAAAAGATAACATTAATTTTCTTTTTATTATTATTATTATTAAATTATAATATTTATTACAGTAATGAAGTAGTTTTTAAGTATTAATTTATTAGAAATAATATATATATAATAATAGATATTTAATTATCATAATTTTTTTGATCATATATTTACAAATTTTTCCAACTTGTAAATATATAAATTGCTTAATACATTGTTGATCGGATAGATTAATAATTCATATCAAATATATTTAAAAAAGAATAAAATATTCCTTTTTGAAAAACTAAAAAAATATTTCATTTTAAATTAACATCAAACTAGAAAATATGAACTACTTTAGAAATCTTATGTTTCAAATATATATGAATGTGTGTGTGTATGAGTGATCCGGTCTTACTGGCCTCTGCTAAAGATCCATGATTTTCACACATATGACGGAAAACAGTGTAGATATTTTTTCTAGTTGCATTGACATCTCTATCTCATAATTTTGTTGTACAACAAAGGTTCCGATCAGGGCTGGAATAGTAGAATGCTAAAAATTTTCCGGAAGAAAACTTTAAAAAAAGGAAAATTTTTTGGGTGCTAAAATTTCTTTACTTTATTCTTCTGTTTTCACCTTGAAA